CTCTCCAAAGTTGCTTCTCACCCGCACCGTGCAAGACTAGTACCTTGATTTCCCCACGAAATGGTCCACACACGTCTCTGATCGGCGGGACGCGCTCGTCTGCCTCGGGTTCCTGCACTTATCCGCCAAGGGGAGGGGCGACCTGCACCGCGGTGACGTCATGCTCGCCCTTGTGGCTGGTGTTCGTACACGAGACACTGCCGCCAAGCTGTGCGAAGCAGTTAATTCGGTCACCGCGGCTGATAAGCATCTGTGACCCGCAGTAATTCGGCGAAAGTCGAGAATAATTTCAAGAAAGTGTGCCTCGGGGCACACTGTCATGCGCCAGTCATATTCAAGAGTGTCTGTATTAACAAGGTCGCAGAGAATACTGCAGAAAACTAAGAATCTTTACTGGTTCTTAGTATGACTGGGCTGCTGGCTTGCAGTTGATAGCTGAGTTATTGTTACCGACATCGCAAATAAACAGTTATAGCTTGTTCTCCTGAGCTACGAGATTCTCCTGCAACCGCAACTAAAACAAAAGTGCAGTTTTAAGGTATATGAATAGGTAAAACTAAGACTATAATTACTAATTATTTGAAGTTGTTTAACAGTGGAGAACAGCCCGATATATTGGCGGTGCCTCCCGCAGTGCTGTGGTTTACGAATTGCAAAGCAGCTCAGAACTGTTCTGTAATTAGTTATGTAACTTCTTACCGAAAGCGATACTCTGGAACTCTGGATGGCCGAAATCGCGGTTAAAAATCTACATATATTAAGGGGAGGCATTTGAATTTGAAAGTAGATTGTAGGTGAGACTGAAAGCTCAAAATGTTCCCCGTTTTAAGATCCGCGGTTGTCCTGCACAAGCGCGCGCTCATGCGTGATTCTGCTCATGCGCGGTGGCTGGAGATGTCACACCCGAACAGCGGGGATCAGGCCGTGGTACTGCCTCTGGAAATCACAGCGCAGCGCTGACGTGCCTGATCAGTTTCACTACTAAGGGTCAGCGCAACACGTAGAGGCCTGACCCTAACAATAATCATATCTGAGAGATCGACTCGGTTCCAGTAGATCACACGCTGGGCTGCTGCTCTCCTGAGGTTGCTCCCCCAGTAGGACTGGAAGCCGTTCTGATTCCGGCAGGTGCGATCGCTGCCTGGATTTGTAAGTCGTGGAAGTGTGAGAGAAAGGCAACGCCTGAGCACGGTGACCCAGAAATACTAAACTCAAAGAAAGATGAGTCTTCCTGAATGTTGTTTCCCTCGGTCCGCTCTCGACCGAGTACCCCCGTCTCCTCCGCTGCAGGTCGGCGGAGCCTCCGCTAGAGGGCGCATCGGCTCCAGTTCAGATCCAGAACCAGCAGGTTTGCTGTGGGTTTGTGTGAAGGCGTTTGCCATCGGTACCGCGGTGTGATGTGCCAGTGCAATTCTTTCTTCTTCACCAACGGGGGGGGTCAGTTTATTGTGGATTGAGATTTTTGTCAAAGTCTTTTGACTGGCTGCTCCTGTGATGCGGATTGTCACGCATGTGCACCCAGACCATGTCAGGATCAGGGTGGATATGTAGGAAATTTGCCCAGGGCGGCAGTTAATTTATTCAAGTTTGCCGGAACGGATTGCAAGATGCCCCGTGTGTCTCGAGGTAGAGAGGGGACCCCGAAAGGTCCCTACTGGGTGACCTCGCCATCATGCTTATGGTGTTGCTGTTGCCCCTCGGCGCCCACCTTGCGTCACATGTCCGGGACACCCCAATGCTGGAGTCACCTCAAAACGCCCCTCCTTGAACCTGGCACGCCGTCACGGGCAGCGCAAACCCGGAAGGAGAGAACGGGTGTCGTCTCTGTGCGTTGTCTTGCAGAGAGAAATAAAAAGAAATTGGAGAGCAGTGCACGCGTGTCCGGCTCAAAAACCCTGCTAATTCAGTGGGTGATAAGTACAGGGCCGCGGAAGAGCACTTAATCGCCACCCCCCCGGTAGGACCATCACGGCCACACCGGCGCTGCTATTCCCGAGGGGTGGGTACCCGTGGCGGCTGCGTACGCAGAGGGATATTCGCGGAGACGATTAATAAAAATAGAGCCCTCGATCCCTCGAGCTGGCCGGACACTGACCGGGGAGGGGGGGGTTGACGTCACGCCTCTGCGGATCCGCGCCGGCTGTTTTTTTTTGGTTCAAGGTTTTGGCCTGAGCAGTCCGAGAGCTGTTTGCAGTACGTAACCTGTTTTTTACTGGTACTCGGGTTCCTGGGTACACACACAGCAAAAGTGGACACACACACACAGTGTTTCAAATCTAAAAAATGGGAATCCCGCCCAGAATCCTGAAAAAGTCCGAAGGTAAACGAGTTCCCGTTTAGCACCGGCCGGAAGTCCTCTCTACTTTTTTTTAAAAAAAAACAAAAATCCTCAGGCTATAAAAAGAAACTCCTATTTTAAGCGACGAGTCGTGTCTGGGAATGGGACCCCCCTGGCGCGAGAAGGAAGTGGGGGCGCTGGCGTGGCGGCCCGGCTCGAGCCGTGAAGTGGGTTGAACGAGGTTATGTAATCACGTCCGCTCCCGAGGAAAGGGAGAAAATGATTTTGTCCTCGGAGATCCAGCACGCTGTCCCGTTCATAATATTTTCGGAAAGGACCAAAGACCCCGTGTCTCTGTGTTACGGCAGAAACTGTCCCCCTCGGGACCCGAAACACCTCGGAGCTCAACGCCGTCGGCCGAGGAGGGTCGTGGCGGAAGCTGTATTTTTGGAGGGCGCTCTGTGTGCTTGTGAATGATGACTGACATTGTCATCCATGTAATCTCACGGACAATCACCCCCGATCGGAAAGTGTTTGCATGCCAAGTTCATACCTGGCTAGGATGTTTACGGATTGTGAGAGTGTTTTATTGTGAGATGTTGCTTTTGGAAATAAAGTATATTTTGATCGAAAAAAAATGTAATCTCTTGCTCTGTCCACTCGACGTCCTGTCCCTCTCTGAGACACAGCTTTATGGGACTGGCAAATCCAGGTGCTCCCAAAGCAATACGAACTGGCAGGATTTTGACAACAGGATCGTTAATGTTTTATATTCTTTGTTAATAGCACTGTTTGATAGGCTGACCCTGTTCCCCAGGCTGGGACAGGGGATCTGTTGGGTTTCCTCCCCCAGTAGGATTGGGAGCTGTTCTGATTCTGGCAGGAGTGGGGATTCTGGGATTAGATTTGTTATTTTAGGGAAGAATGTTTGACTAATTCCAGAGTGTTTTCTCACAGTGCAGCAGAAAGTGCACCTCTGTCTCTGACAGTGGGAGCACAGCCTGTCCTCTCTGGGCAGGCGTGTCTGTCTGTGTCCAGTTTCTATGTGCAGACTGTAGTCACTGAGCCTGTCCGCTCTCGACAGTCTGGTCTGTCTGGCTGACTAACAAACCGCTCTCACTCTGTACTGCTGGTACACGCTGTGCCCGACGCTGTGAAGAACCGCATGAACCGCATGCCTTTTTTTCACACGCAGGAACACGCACAGTCCACCGCACAGACGCAGTAACAACTGTGCGACATTTACAGTTCTGCGCAGCACCTGTAACTGCGGCATTAATCTTGTAATGATCCTAACAAGACGAGAGCTAACACTTCCAGGATTTTTCGGAGGAAAAAAAAAACAGAAAAATAATGAGCTTTTCGAGCTTTTCCTATTGGCTGCCGCGCTCGACCAATGAGGGGCTGGCAGCCGGGTGTGCACGTGCGTTATGTGTACACTGAACTGGGCGGTCCCTCTGGCGACAGCGGCCAATCAGCGGGCCGGGCCGGCCCTGGGGGGGTTATGCAATCGAGGGAAAGACGCCGGGCGCGAGGCGAGGAGCCCAGCTTTAGAACATGAACGTTTCCGCCTCCCAGAGGCTGGTTTGCGCGTGTTCGAGCCGGGGGTAGACTGAGGCATTAGCAAAGCAGGGATAATAACGTCCACCCGTGTCTGCGACCCACGCACCGCGTCCGTATCCTTGCATCTCGGCTTGCTCCTGGTACGGAAATGTCTTCTTTTTTTTATTCGTTATATGAGCATCGTCATTTGCGTGTGATCTAATCCCCGCAATAAGTGCTCTTTGGAATACATCGCACTTCAGAAATGCCGGGGGTGATCTATTCTTGCTGCGACGGGTTCGTAGCATCGTCTGTGCTTTTCCGCTGCCCCTTGACCCTGCTGTGCGTCTCCCTGGCTGTCCGTCTGTCCCGCCTTCCCTCTGCGACGTGCTGCAAGTGTTCAGAGGTGTCGCACGGATAAAAACGTGGAGTTAGAGCCCATCGGAAAATGTAGTTCTGTCTTTTGCGTTTTTGTGCGGCTCTGCGCATAGACTTGTCGCTGGCACTCTTATTGTCCTCGGTAGCAGTTTCAACAGGCTGCCTTGAGACACATGTTGCAGTGAGACCGAAGCCCGTTGCTCGGGCGCAGTGGGCGTGTTTGTAACTGACTTGATTGTGTAGTGGTTGCACTTTTTCCGTGTAGCGGCCAGTGTTTTATGTAGAACTCTAGATTCTGTTAATACATTGTTGCGAATCTTGATCATACTGCCACAGAAATGCAAAATCTAAAAGACGTTCGGGTGGGGCGCTGTGTCAGGTTGCGACGACGGTGAAGGAACAGATACAGGTGTATTCCGCGCTGAAAAGATAAGACGAGAGACACAACCTTCCAGCTGTGCTCTCTTCACACCTGTGGAGCTGCGACACATGAAGGAAAACGTTGTCTCTCTTCTTTTCCCTTCACTATGGAATGAACCTTTCATCATCTCGTTGCAAAATGTAAAATATCGCTTCATGACATGACTGTCTGATCCACTCCAGGTTTTACGGTACGCCCTGTCAGGCTCCCACTGCATCGCAGGTTAATCCACTACAGATTTTACGAGCTGCAGAGCTCTTGTGAAAATGATACTAATGCAGCAGAAAACGACTCTAGAGCCATACCAGCCCCTTTTAATAGTGTGTTCCGTCTACACAGATGTGTTGCCACAAACATTAAAACCTGGAGTGCATCAGACAGCTGTGGAGTGGGAGTCAGACTGACAGCACTGCAAATCCCAAAGTGGATCAGGCTGCAGTGGAGTGGAGTTTTTCAGCTTTGATTGGATTCTTAAGGTACTTTGAGGTGGCAGGGATGTGTGTAGTATTCTTCCACCATAAGTGAGTCGAAGTGTGTGGATGAAAAACATGACCCGCATTTGCCCCCGAGAAAGACTCTTGGGCCCATTTGTAAAACAGTCTGTTGCTCTGGAACTGCATGGCCGCATGATCCCAGGCTCAACCGGGAAATCAGCTTAAACGCGAAACAGCCTGGTGGTTCAGCTTGTTCCATACTCCCACCACCCTTTGTGTAAAGGAGTGCCTCTCCCCTTCCCCCGTTCCCGGTCGTATATGTGCTTCCTCTTCCTCTGCAACCACTGGGATGACTGGTCTTGCGGGATTTTAAATAGTCCTGAGTTTCCACCAGTCGAGACAAAAGAGACAAGGTTCCTTCTAGATGTCTGCCGGAATAAGCTGATTGATCCTAACTGTCGGGTGGTCCAAATGAACTCCTCTCCTTTGTAACCTTTCTGTGTTTTTTTTAAATGTGTTTCCTTTCCTTGGGCTCGCATGGAGACACTTGGAAGCACTGTTTTTTTGAGTGGGCTTTGAAGGAATGCTCAAGACTGCCATCCTCTGGCTGACTGAGCTCGCGCCGCGGGGTGGATGGTTTTAACTGGTCTGGTCTGTGTCTGCCGCAGAAGGAAGGCACCTCCAAACAGACTTCAGGGAATGTCTCGTTTCCAAAAGGAAAATAAAGAAAGAAGCTATCTCGTTTTCATTATATCTGGCCCTCGTTAACTAACCGGATTAGTGGAGACGAGCAGGATAAATGGAACAGTGGGTTATAAATACCCATACTTGCAGCGTAATGGTCAGATCCTGATTATCTCGGTACAAAATAGTCTGTTCAAAAATAGTGATGGTGTTGGCCACACCCCAGAGGGTACAGGACAGCGTTAGGCACAGCCCCCTTTGTGAGCGGACCAGATCTCACTGCTCCACCCTGCAGCTTTTCTTGAACCGGGGTGTCAGTGGAGAACAAACTCTCATTTGTGGTGACGACCGAGGGAGCCCCCATTTCTCTCATGGGCCGGGCACTCGAGGCCTTGGAATGGGATGCCTTGCTCAAGGGTGAATGATCCCCACACAGGATGAATCCCAGCCCCCCATGCTGGAATCCAGCGTCCTGGCAGCCAATCCCAAACTTTGCCATGTGCAGATTTTCCCCAAAGGGAGCCAGCTTGGGAAGTGTGCGGCGCAATGGCCAGCCAGTGTCCGGTCTGGTCCGTCTGTCTCGCGGCCCTGTCACAAGGTCCATTCAACGTCTGGACCTTGACTCTGGAATATATGGAGAATGGAGTTGTGGGGTCGTCCCAGGACAGTTACGAATTATGAGGGACGTGTTCTGCCCAGAGGGCGGCAGAGATGTGTAGTGGTGTGCGCCCCAAACTCCCCCCACCCCAGATAACAGGCAGGTTGCAGTTGGGTGGAAGGGGGGCGCACCACTGGAACCTGCTGCCCTCTGGGCATAACATGTCCCTCATAATTCGTAACTGTCCTGGGACGACCCCACACCTCCATTCTCCGTACATTTAGGGAGAAAGTGACAACAGGTGTGTCAAGGGAGCAGAGCCTGTGAGATGAAGAGCGAGACATAGAGACACCAGCACCCGGAGGGAGAGGGAGACAGCGACACAGACGGGGAGAGGCGGACACGGAGACGGACAGGGATTTAGAGGGACACGCAGAGGGAGTGGGGAGAGTCAGTCTGGACACTGCTGTCTTCTGTCTCTCTCCCAGTCTCTGGCTTTGAAGTGAAAAGGTCGTGTGTATTTGAAGTTGGCTGTTTATGGGAGCTTGGTTTGTTGCCTTAGGGAGGTTGTGTGCATGTGGGGGGAGGGGGCAGTATTTTTAGGTACAGTTTTGTGTTGGGGGGGCAATAGAGGGATCCCCATCGTTTGACTCATGGCTGCAGTCAAACCACAATGTAATGTACACAGACCCACTGCATAAGCACTCGACATGGGCACACACACACACACACACAAGCTCAGCTCGTTAGCAGAGAGCCAGAGTGCAGCACATGGCCGAGCGGGTGCTGAGAGGGTTTGTGGGGGTGTCAGGGCTGTGCAGAAGACAGACGTTCCCTGTAAGCGCGTTTCTTAAATGATGCGTTTCAGTTTGAAGCGGTTTCTGATTTTAAAACCTGTGCAGCGGATTTTGGACTGTCCTCCAGCTGGACAGGGTGCATCTCAGTCCTGCCTCGTGTCCAATCGGCTCTTATTATGCCTGGTGACATCCTTTTGAAACTGGACCGGGATGAGAGATGCTGGCCGTGTTATTGTGAGGCAGTATAAAATCGTAACCTGTTTTGGGTGGTGCCCACCAGCCGAAGTGACTTTCAGGAAACTCTTGAGGAATCTCGGAGTTCAAGCATATGACCAGAACTCCTGCTTCCTGCAGGGAATGAGGTGGAGGTGTCGCACACACAGGCGATCTAAGTAAGAACCACATGTGCTTAAACAGCCCTCTCACAGTTTTGTATTTTTTTTTGTCTTTTTCAGGAGGATTCCCTCAGTCGGGAATCTTGTAGGTCCCCCCTCTGGAGAAAGATCGGATCTACTCAGAACAAATTCCAGAATTAGGGGAACAAAGACCTTGAAAAAGGAAGATAAAGAGGCCTGAAAAAAGAGAGGATCCATATTTTGATCAATTCCTCTGCCCATTCTGCAGAGTTCTGCACCCTCCAGCTCTCTGTCTCTTTCTCACTCCATCTGGCATTGCGATCCGCTGCCAGATTGAAGGTTTTCAGTTTCCCGGAGACAGCCGAGTTTTTGTTGCTCTAGTGTCAAGTTTCGCAAGTATTTTAAGTTTCTCCAGATCCATTTTCATATTTATCAATTTAAAATTCAAACTCTGCAATGGTTCACTCCGGTGGACAAGACTGCCCCACCTAGTGTGGAAGCAGAGGTACTGCCACCCTTTGATTTATTCATCGCTATTCTTAGTATTATTATGAGTGATGACAATTCTGACTCCGCCCCCAGCCATGCTGATGATGTGCACGGGGTGGGTGTGTCCGGGGAGGGGGCGGGGCCCAGGGCGGGCTCTCCTGGCTTGAGTGGCGGCTCAGAGACCAACAGCCGGAGCAACAGCAGCAGCCCACTTGGAGGTGGGGGAGGAGCCAACAGCCCTGGGGGCGGTCCCGGGGGGCGGGGCTCAAGAGCCCCTAGGATCCAGGGAAAAGGGCCCCCGCAGGGCCCCCAGGGCTCCTCAGATGATATGGACGCCCACAGCAATGGGAACTCCAGTGGGAACGACTCTGCTGTGCTGGAGAATGAGTCGCAGGGGAGGCAATCCACCAGGAGCTCTCAGAGTAGCTCCAGCCACAACTGCAAGGACTCTGGCGTGTTACTGGAGACCACAGAGAGCAATAAGAGGTGAGGGGCATGAAGGAAGGGGGAACAGAAAGGGAGAAAAGGCAGGGGTGGTCGGATGGAGAGCTGAAGGAATTGGGAAAGAGAGGGGGTGGGGTGGTGAGTCTTTCTGTCTCCTAATCTTAATTCTCCATCCTGTCTGTCTACAGCTCAAACTCCCAGAGCCCCTCGCCTCCCAGCAGCTCCATCGCGTACAGCCTGCTGAGCGCCAGCTCCGAGCAGGACCACCCCTCCACCAGTGGCTGCAGGTAACACGGCGCCCCCTGTTGAGTCCAGCTGGCACTGCAGCACAGACATACACATGACCAGTATCCTGCAGGAGTCGGTGTAGGCTCTTTGCGTTTTCAGTGACTGGATCTTACTAGCATAAGTGACTTGAGGTTGTGGAAAAAAATCATATTTTTTGCATTTCTTTAGCAACTTTGCATCCCAAAGATCTCAGAGTTCTTTACATATAGCAGGGGGCCCATTTCACCCCCCACTGCAGTGCTGCCCCCACCTGACCAAGACACAGCAGCCCCACTGCACAGTGGATCAGGGAGAGGAGAGAGAAACCGCTGCGACAGATGAAAGAGCCCAGACTGTGCAGCCCAGAGTGAAACTTAACCAGATCAGCAGGGTTAATACTCTCTTAGGAACAGTGCCCTGGGATCATTAATGAGCAAGGAGGACCTTTAATGTCTCATCCGAAGGGTGACAGTTCCTACAGTGTAGTGTCTCTGGTCACTATCCAAGTGCACTAGTATTGAATTGCGCTCTGGAATGAAGAGCGCCTCCTACTGGTCCACCAGCTGCACATGCAGCGCCCCTGCTTGGGTTCTTGCTGTATTAATGAGTGAGGAATGCATCAGCACCCTCTCCTGCTTGGCGCGTGCTGGGGCTTGCAGGCCCCGACCTCCCTGACCTCTTCTGTCCCCGCAGCTCGGACCAGTCCGCGCGGGTGAAGACCCAGAAGGAGCTGATGACGGCCCTGAAGGAGCTGAAGATCCGCGTGCCGGCGGAGCGGCGGGGGAAGGGGCGCTCCAGCACGCTGGCCGCGCTGCAGTACGCCCTCACCTGCGTCAAGCAAGTCCGAGGTCAGTGCCTGCGGGGCAGGGGAGCGGGCGCGGGCGGGCGTTCAGACTCGCGGGCTGGGCTGGGTGGCGCCTGCAACTGCACGGGACGAGCGAGTGCAAACTAAACGCACGTGCACACTCACTCGTCGCCACAGGCCACAGCTGGTTTTTAATTATCTCATGAGGCGCAAAGACTACTGCGTGCATTTGCACAAACCGCGCACCTTCGCGCTGTGCTGGCATGCACACGTGGAGCGAACGGCTGTGTTCGTGCGTCAGTGCAAGCAGTGGAATGCGTGTAAACGGGTGCGTGCTCACGAGAGGTTTCTGTCAGGCTCAGGCTTGTGTCTCTCTCCAGCCAACCAGGAGTACTACCACCAGTGGACAGTGGACGAGGGTCAGAACTGCAGCCTGGACCTGTCAAACTACACCATCGAGGAGCTGGAGAACATCACCTCCGAGTACACCCTCAAGAACACTGTAAGTACTCCCTTGTCTTCCTCCCTGCCACGCCGCCATTCCGGCTCTCCCTCCATCCTGTCTGTCCTTCCCAACAGTGCTCCTCTTGCGTCTGGATTAACCTCTGTCTCCCTGTCTCCCTCTCTCCGCGCCCCTCAGGACACATTCTCGGTGGCCGTGTCCTTCATCACGGGGAAGGTGGTGTATGTCTCCCCCCAGGCGGCCTGTATCCTGCGCTGCAAACCTGAGCGCCTGCAGGGGGCGCTTTTCTCCAAGCTGCTGGCCCCCCAGGATGTCAGCGTGTTCTACAGCAACACCGTGCCCTGCCGCCTGCCCGCCTGGTCTGCCTGTAATGGCACAGGTGAGCTCTGCATACCTGACTATTGTAGGCACTGCTGTCTCTCTTCTCTCACACTCCCCCTGAATTCACCTGCACACACACACACTGTCACACCTGACTGGACTGTAGACACTGCTAGAGCCACTGCTGTCCCTCTCCTCTCACACTCCCCCTGAATTCACCAGCA